TATGAGTTTTACCCCAGAAAGGATTTAACTCTCCACTAAATAATTCACTAAGTAATTGTTTAGTTTCTTCTGATAATGATTTACCCATTCTTAAACTTGCTAATAATGCTTTAGTTTCATCTGAGTGTTTAAACCCTAATGAAGATCCTGCAGTAGGATTAAGATTAAGAACTGGTTTTAAGAGATCAATATAATATTGTTCTCTGCTTAATAAATCAGTTTTAATATGATCACTTGGTTCTACTAACTCTAGAATTAGAACAGTAAAATTGTTATGACCATATTTCATAATAGAGTTTGAAATATATCGTCCATCAATTAATTTTGAAGGGCTATAATACGAATATAATCTTCGTTTCAAATCAATACTACTACCAACATATTGTTTACCATTAACAAGGTTTATGAAGTAAATAAATACCTGATTTCTTATTGAATTCTGATACAATAAGAGATTTATCATCTAACATATTATTGTAGATTTTAACGGGACAAAAAGACAAGTTATCCGCAGTAATAGAGAATAATTGTTTTGGATTTTTATCCACTTTGATGTTAATCATGTTTAATTGATTATCTTCCTTTTTTTTGTTTTTTATATTGGAAAATATCAAGACAAATGAGAAAATGATAAATAAGTTCCATACTTTTCAGTATAGACCGGACTATATCTTCACCCGTTTATGGTTAACGGGGCATCACGTGTAGTCTCTGAGAACCCAAATAGATTATTTGTTTTCCTGCTGATTATCCATTGTAGTATACAACCACGAGGAATCTCGTGGTCACTCATCGATTCCGGCGGGGGGCGGGCAGAGCCCGCCCCCAATTAAATCGAGAGCTCAAGATTGTTACCCTTAAGGTACTTGAGTCATTAGGAATTTCCAGCATATAGTGATGTACTTATGAAATATTACTATTCCAATAGGCCTAGCTAAATTGACCTAGCATATGTTGAGGGAAGAATGTTAGGTTACATTAATATTAACCAGGATTTTCCTGGCCCGGTTCCCACCGGCCATGTCTCTCACCATGGATTGGACTATATCTTATTATTTAATATTGCTTAAATAATTCCTTCAAATAGTCTCTAAGGAACCTACTCCCCTATTGGGTTGGTTTCCTGCTGATTGTCCATTATAATATACTTAACTCTTAT